CATGAAAGAGGTGTAGTGTTACAACTATCAAGGATTTGGTCATTATGCTCAAGATTGTTGAAGAAAGAAGGAATCATAATCAAAAGACAATGACAAAGTGTAATATGCACATGTTAGAGGAAACGACTATGATGATATGCTACTCATGACAAATACTAGTCGAATAATGAACAAATCAATGTGTGGTACTAAGATTTAGGATGGAATAACCACATGTCTGGTAATAAAAGCTGGTTCACCAAGTTAGATGGATCGACCAAGAAAGTGACCAGGTTTGCAGATGGCATGCATGTTACATCTAGTGGAAAAGGAAACATAGTTGTGGTGAGAAAAAATGGTAAGAGGGCTAATATTACTAATCTATTGTATGTACCTTCGATGACAAGTAATTTGATAAGTATAGGTCAATTACTTGCTAAAGGGTATAACATAAAGTTGGAAGAAAATATGATAAAGGTGTATAATGGTAATGGAAGGATGATCTTGACGACACCATTTACATATAACAAAATCTTCAAAGTAGAGATCAACACGGTTGATCATCAATGTCTTGCTTTGACTGCGGTTGAAGAAAAAAACTAGTTATGCCATTACAGGTATGAACAATGAAACTTCAGAGGTCTAGGTATGCTCAACTAGAAAAATATGGTGTATGGCTTATCTCAAGTGAAAGAACCAAGTCGGGTGTGTGATGAATGTTGGAAAGAAAAATAGGCTAGGAAAGCATTCAAACATGACTTGTCCATGAAGTTGAGAGAAAAGCTGGAGCTTGTTCACTTTGATGTATGTGGACCATTTGAAGTAAGATCAAATGGAGGTAACTACTATTTTCTAACTTTCATATATGAACTCACCAGATATATGTGAATTTACCTTCTTGAAAGGAAGAGTGAGGTATTCATACATTTCAAGAAGTTTAAGTTGCATTTTGAGAAACAAGCAGATGCAAGTTAAAGAAACTAAGAACTGATGGTGAAGGTGAATACACCTCTAGAGAATTTGCAAAGTTTTGCAATGAGGAAGATATAAAGCATGAGGTCATTGCACTATATACACCTCAGCACAATGGTATAGCTAAGAGCAGAAATAAATATATTGAACCTGGCCATGAGTATGTTGAAAGCTAAAAAAATGTCAAAGAGATTTTGGGGTGAAGCAGCTTCGACAACAGTATACATTCTAAATAGATGTATAACTATGGAGATAGTCGAAAAGACACCTTATGAGGCTCGGATAACATTGAAGCCAAATGTTAGTCATCTTAGAGTTTTTTGATCAATGTGTTCCAGGCATGTACCTAAATAATTAAGAAAGAAGATAAATGATCAAAGTCAAGCTATGGTGTTCATAGTTTATCATTCGATTGGTGCATATAAGTTGTATTCACCAAATAATAATAAACTAGTGATCAATACGTATGTTAAAGTGGATGAGAGAAAATGGTGGAATTAGCATCAGAGGTATGATCATTACGAGCAAGATACAATCATAATTGTGCTTGAAGAAGACTAACAAACTGAAACCACAACCTCTCAAAATGAAGAACCACTTAAGCATAATGTTAGAAGATCGACTAGAACAAGAACTAAGTCGACGAGGCCAGCTGGATATGAGAAATTTCTAGATCAAGCAATTGATACAAATGGTGACTTAATAGAAGAAGTGACGATGGTGGCTAAATCATAAACAATTGATTTGAATCAAGTCATGAATGGTTCAAATTGGTTGGCAGTCATGCAAGAAGAACTCAGGGAAATTGAGAAGATCAAGACATGAGAGCTTGTAGAAAAGTCAATCAAAAAGCCAATTGATGTGAAGTGAGTCTACAAGTTGAAACTAAGGCTAAATGGTTAAAATGCCAAGCATAAGAAAAGACTGGTGGCATGAGGTTTTATGCAAAAACCTGGTATCGACTTCGATGAAACTTATGCACCTATTGTAAGGCTGGAAACCATCAGAACTATTGTATTGACCACAACATACAAAGGATGGAAGACAAATCAACTAGATGTGAAATTAGCATTTCTGAATGGACCATTGGAAGAGGAGGTCTATGTCAGCCAACCATTAGGGTTTGAAATAAAAGGGCGGAAACAGAATGTGTACAAATTGAGGAAGGCTCTATAGGGTTTAAAGCAAGCCCCGAGGACTTGGAATAAGAGAATATACAACTTTCTAAGGTTTTTTCACTGTTCTACCCCCATTTGAAAAAAAAAACCATAATACCCTATTTTCAAAATTATTTACGGGAGTACCCCTTTTCTATAGAAGCTCGTCCATTCAGTGGACGAGAGGGTGCAGATAAAAAATTTGGAGTTGAAGCTCGTCCAACCAATGGGCAAACCTGTGAAAAGCAGATTGGACTTTGTGAGCTCGTCTAATGGTTGGACGAGCGTGTGAAGGTGAAATTTTTTATTTTTATTTTTTTAATTAAATACCATAAATAAATTATTGGAATGGATGTTTAATTAAAATCTGATATTTATTTATGGTATTTAATTATATTAATTATATAATTTATATAATGTAAATGACAGAGCTAACATTATTTTAAATATATTAGTAGTATATATAAATGACAGAGCTAATACAAATAAAAAATAATTGGGAACATAACATACTTTAAACTGGGAGTAGTATTGTAAATAAAATCATTCAAACATTTAAACATTACTATGTTATAAAAATAATTGATTAATGATTGATTAATTATATTAATTAAAATATGGTATTTATTTATGGTATTTAATTATATTAATTATATAATTTATGTAATGTATTAAAATTATATTAATAAAAAATTTTAATTAAAATCTGAATAAAAAATAAAAATAAAAAATTGCACGCTTCACACGCTCGTCCAACCATTGGACGAGTTCACAAAGTCCAATCTGCTTTTCACAGGTTCGCTCATTGATTGGGCGAGCTTCAACTCCAAAAATTTTATTTGCACCCTCTCGTCCACTGAATGGACGAGCTTCTATAAAAAAGGGGTACTCCCGTAAATAATTTTGAAAATAGGGTATTATGTTTTTTTTTCTTCAAATGGGGTAGAACAGTGAAAAAACCACTTTCTGATCCATACAAGTTTCATAAAATGTGTTTCAGAACTTGGAGTGTATGTTAACAATGCAAGCAGGCTCAGTCGAGTCATTATATGTTTGTATGTAGATGACTTGTTTATAGGTGCAGATGAAGCCGAAATAAAAGGGGTCAAGTCAAAACTGATGCATGAATTTGAAATGTCCGACCTAGGGAATCTATCGTATTTCTTCGGGATGGAATCTAAAGACAAAAATGAAGGTATGTTTCTAAACCAGACAAAATATGCCTAAGATATCTTGAAAATTTTCAAGATGAGCATCTGTAATGCATGTCACACCTTTGAAAACTGGAGCAAATTATAAATTTGTAAGTACAACATTGTACAAGTAAATCTTTGGATTCTTAAGGTATCTATGCAACACCAAGTCAGTTATCTGTCAAAGTGTCAGGTTGTTGAGAAGATTCATGGAGTGTTGAGATACCTAAAAGGTACAAATAATCATGGTGTGTTGATACTAAGGTAGAAGAATATCAACACAGATGCAAAGGTACATGGCTACATTAATTTAGATTTCAGTGGGGACTAAGATAAGAAGAAGAGTACTGCATGTTACATATTTATGATTAGAGGTGCCCCAATATCTTGAAGCTCAAGAAAACAAAGTATTATGGCTTTGTCATTTTGTGAAATTGAATATGTTGCTGCATCATATGTAGCATGTCAAGCAACATGGGTAGAGATGTTTCTCGAAGAGCTCAAGATTATCAAACCTAAGAAAATAAAGTTCTTTGTCAATAATAAGTCAGCTGTCGACCTAACAAATCATTTCGTGTGTCATGGTTGAAGTAAGCACATAAACATAAGGTATCATTTTCTTAGGGATAAGTAAATAAAGGAAAACTTAAACTTGAACATTGCAAGTTAGAATGACAACTATCTGATATACTTAAGAAAGTCAGGTTTGATGAATTGAAGAAAAACATTGGGATGAGAAGTTTTGAAAACATGAATTAGATGGTGACAATGTAAATCAAAATATATTAACATACTACAACTTTCACTTTAGTAAAAAAATTCCTTTTTCACAATGTAGTTTTTCTCCCTTCTCTCTCTTCTTCTTCATTCTTCTTGAAACCCCTAATCATTCAAACAATTAACTTGGTAACTATCTCTAACAATAAAGATTGCTTTGGATTGTGGAATTGCTAAAATGCTCCTTTGGGTTATTTTATATATATATATATATATATATATATATATATATATATATATATATATATATATATATATATATATATATATATATATATATATATATATATATATATATATATATATATATATATATATATATATATATATATATATATATATATATATATATATATATATATATATATATATATATTACAATGTCTCTCATATTTAGTTATAACATCGTGTAATATAACAATAACATGTTATCAGTTGCCTTTGTTGTCTAAGGAAAGACATGTTTAATGTATCTTTAAAGGAATCATTTTGTAAAATTGATTTCATTAATTAAATTAAAGTTACGCGACTAATTAGTAATTTAGTTGTTGAAAACATTGTTTAAGCAATTCATTCAATTATTTCAAATGCATGATCATTTAAATTATTTGTTTATGAAATGCCGAGCCTTCAGACAAAAGCCAATTGATTTTCATTAAGCAAAAATATGAATATAATTAATAATGACTGACTTAATTGAAAAATATTATTCCAATCACAATTTCTCTATTTCATTTCTTTATCAATAATTTTCTATCTGCCTAGGATTCCCTAAATATATACGGGACTGGAAAGCTTGTTGACAAATTTTCATCTTCCAAGTTATCTGAAACATACATTTCAAATTGAGTCAGATCAATGGACCATAATGTCGCAATGATATCCAGAAGAATTCTCTCTATATATAAATCATTACCTGAGTTTATGGTATTAAGTTATGACAAGTTTTATCATTATCACATGGATAGGGACGTTCTATCTGCTTGCTTCTATTTCTACTAAAATACCAATCACCAACTGCTTCTGCAATAGTCTGTAAAAGGTGAAGTTTAGTGATGTTGCTGATTAAACATTTGCTATGCTAAAGTTCACACTTTAAATTAGTTAAAATTTTACATACAATGAACAAGATAAGATTATCATGTCTTGTTGTCAAAGAGATTGGTACCTTGTTGTTTATTCTAGGAGAATCGTCTCCAAACCATGTTTCTTGCGATTCACTTTGGCAATGAGCAAAACATGAATTTATGAACATTCCTCCTCTTTTGGAATAAAAGTAGAACGGTTTCAAAGCTGCAAGCATGCTGAGCCTAAAACCTGAGCAAAGTGCATTGGATTAAGAAAAGTCAGTTCTATTTATTAACACTAAAATATGTGAAATTGATGGTAGAAAAGTTGAAAGAGGAACCTTGCAATGTGTTAATTTGGGCTGGTGTGCATGTCGATTTGTTCACCCTGCAGTGATTCCAGTGTCCGAGGGGATCAGCCGAAGGTGGCGCCAATATATGATGGAACTGTTGAAATTTTAAGTCTATTAATTTCATAGTTCACCAACTATGAATTTAATTGAATGTGCAAGATAGAAAGTTAAGCATCAAAAAACCATTACTTGGAATACATCATAGGCAGAGTTCAAGATAAAATACGGTGTTGATATATATTTCAATGCATATTGCGGAAAGAAGCACTGCATGAAAAAAAACATGACATATGTCAGAATCTTGTAAGATCTTCATGAGATAACGATGTCAGTTCATGAGAAAACATACCAAGTCTGGATAGGAAAGCGCACTCGTGCAGTTTTCATTAAGGTTCTGCTCTATCCCCTGGTGTAAACAAAACAAAACATGTCAAGTAAGCCTGTTTTTTGTTAAGCAATTTCTTTCTGTTATGCAACTTGAAAATTCAATATAGATAATAACATGTTGAAAATTACCTGCAATGTAACTAGACTTTTGACTAAGTACCTCATAGTGTGATTCAAACTGACATCTCTTCTGCAAAAAAAAGGGTGTCAAAAGTAATGTTAAAATTCAGATATTGCTGAAATGAATGAAAGATGGAATAAATTAAATGAACATACCCATCAAGGAAAAAACCTGCATCACTCAAGCATTTAAGAGTAGTATTTGTTGGCAAATACTTGGCGAAGTTGTCACAATGGTGAAAAGTGGCTAAACCTCCTGCTGAACAGCCAGAAAGCAAAGCCTACACAACATTCATAATCATAGTAGATACTATAAATTTCATTCAAATCATAAAATATAATCAATGAAATGAATCTAAACATGAAAGAGTAACTATACCTTGTATGCTTTTCCTAAACCTTTTGGTAGAAGATCCTCAATAATGGCTTCCCAAATCTTTTGCCCTTTGAAGTAAAGCGTTGTTGTCTGATGTAAAGAGTAAAAGTTCAGTAAAATATAATAGAAATTTGTTGTTGTCCTATTTCATTTCAGCACTTAATTTCATCATATACCACTAATCTAAACATACACATACACTAAGACAATCCATAATAGTGAAAATTTTCTTGCAAAATAGAACTAAACTCAAAAAACTAGCCAAGTCTTCCCGCTTTTATAAAAGAAATATTGTATTAAATATGACTAAATATATTGTGAAATGTTACAATTTCAAGATTTGATTAAGTGGGAGATGCGTTGAAAAAGTTACCCCATTTTTGAAGACTCGGTTTCCGGTAAATGAAGCTCCATCGCAGTATCTCAATTTCACCCGGTTCCAATTGTAAAAGTCTGGTACAGCACAAATCCACAAATTTAATTAAAAAGATAAAGACCAAACTCTTATCAAAGAGTGAATATAATTTATTAAATTTTATAACCATTTCAAGATTTTTAAGAATTAGTACTAATGGGTGGTAAATAACTACAAAGTCGCATATTCGAATACGTGTTCCTAATCGAATATTCCTGCACAACTATTAATTAAGTTGGAAAATTGAGTCTTTCAAAGTGAGTAATATGGATACAAAAGTTTATTTTTTAAAATTGATTGAATAAATAATAACAGGTTTACTCAATAAAACTAAAAAATGATTTATTTAATAATAATGCCAGAAGAGTGTAAAAGTGAACAAGTGAAGCAGAGAACAATGCATCTTTTGTCTCAAATTAAATGTAACAATGTCACATGTGTAATGGAGAACCAAAGCACGCAAGATACAATAATGGAAGGTTTTATACAGATCAGAGCGTGAGAAAAGCTAAGTGAAAATTATAAATAAGGTATAAAATCAAGAGGTAGCTACATGGCAACATCAAGAGCACGTGAAAGGGAATCTGAAGAAAAATGAAAGCTAGTTATTGTGAGATTCACTGGACACGGTTGGCTTACCTATTTGGCAGGGAACCATTGATTTTTAACCAAATAACAGCTGTGTTAAAAGGACCATTGCAACAACAAAAGTGTTATATATAGGAATTGAGCTAAGTTGATGTCAACCAAATACCTACCACTACATGTTACTAATATACATTATTAGAAGTTTTTTATTGATTAGATATAAGTATTTGATGTGATATTTCAGCTATAAGAATAAAAGTATTGATTTACCTGGATTAAGGGTGGCATTATTGCTTAAAATACCAGAGAAAACCGCAAACTTGTTCATGTACTTTGTTGAACCCCTACGAGTTGGTGCTCTCTCCAAGCATGATTGTAAGTCATTGCACCATCCTCCACCCTGTCAAGTTCAATTAATTGGTACTCATTAATAATAATTTATGAATACAGAACAAAAACCAAGGGCAATTTCTTCGGTTGGGATTTGGGCTCCACCGTGCTAACTCAAATTGAGTTAATTATTTTTTATTGTTTTGGATTTATTTTCTTCAAAGAGTGTATTCATATTTATCTAAGCTTTACAATGACACTTAAATACAAGATGAACGATTTCTAAAACTGCAGTGTAAAAGTCGTAGGTAAAGTGAGCAGTTATTAAATGCTGGTTTTTTAAATGAAAAATAAGGATTCAAATTTTAAAAAATTTAAATTCAGAAAAACTATTTATTTGATTAAAATATTAATTTTTTTAAATAATTCAGAAAAAAATATTTTATAGGTCAACCCGCGCATGTGGAAGGTGGACCACAGTAAACCCAAACACGGCCGCATGGCTGCCTGCATGTGATGTTTTGAACCTGCAATCATACCCATTTTTAAAGAGAATGCCATACCGCGCCATTTTTATTGTACAATGTTAATGATTAATTTTGATATACATACATAAAGAAAATATACACAAATTTTCTAAATACATAAAAATATAGTAAAATTAAAGTTTCTTAATTTTTTAGTCTAATTTCAAATACTTTTTTTTAAATTAACTTTTGGATAAATTTATAAGTTTAATTAGTATACTTTGTTAATCAATGTTATTCTAAACCTCGTGATTGAAACATATTGCTGAAAAAAATACATACATTTCTGAAAGGTCAACTCATTTATCATCCAACCCGCTATGAACATGGAGAATCATGTTCAGAATCAGATAGGATAATATGGTGTGTACGTATGTGAACTAACCCTATTCCAATACTCATTCTCGCTCGACTCAATAATTTCTAGTCATGGTAGAACACGTCAATTAACATTGTTAGCTATATGTAGTTAAATGCACCTCCTATTATGGAGGATGATTAGCTTCCTCCACTCCCACTATATATATATATATATATATATATATATATATATATATATATATATATATATATATATATATATATATATATATATATATATATATATATATATATATATATATATATATATATATATATATATATATATATATATATATATATATATATATATATATATATATATATATATATATATATATATAATCGAAATTGTCTTAAATTTTTTTAAGACTTTTTATAAGTTATTCAGAGTTCAACCGTTAAAAAATAAATAAAAGTTCTATTTAACTATGATTTAATATCAACATATATTTTATCATTTTTTTAATTGAAAATTAACTATGACAAATTTTAAATTATATCTTGTAGTTAGTTTTGTCACTCTAAAGACCACCTTGCATTTAATATAAAACTTGTGTTGAATATGGTTTATTTTTTTTAAAGGAAATATATGAGAAGCCAAGGAAAGAATATAAAGTTCTTATAAATGCATCTAATAATTATTTTTGTAAATTATTATAACAACCATTTTTAATTATTTTCCTATTATAGTAATACTAATGAAAGATTATTGTTTACTTTTTTTATTATAATAACTATTATTTTATACTAACGTCCCGTCTGTCCGCTTTTATAATGGTCAGGACGTTTAAAAATATAAACATATTTTTTATGTGTTTATTTTTTTAAATTTAAATTTTATATAAATTTTTTGAATGAAATAGTTGTGCAAACTATCATATAGAAGTTAATAAAATAGAAGTTAGTAAAAGAAAAGTTGAATTTTAAAATAAAAAACAAAAGAGTATAATTGAAATAAAAATATACTACACCAAATTCAAGTTTTCTCTTTATATATGTTATAGAATATAGATTAAACCATATACTATTCTTTTTCTTCTGTTCATTAATTTTTGTCATTAATATAAAATAATTTTGTAAACATTTTTTTACATATTTTGTTTTCTATAAATTAATTACATCCTTTACAATTTATGTGAAATTGCTAAACCATATAATTTGAAACTAAATGAATATAATACATATTTGTCCCACTTTAGAAACATCTCATATATTCATTTAAAAAAAATTAATAATTAAATTATGAGAAAAACAATGAAATAATAATAATACATACATACATACATACTCTAAAATGGTATAAATGTAATATTTGTATTATGTACTATTAATAAAAAAATGCTAAAATAGATTAATTTTAATGATAAAATTATTAAATAGTATTTAATAAAACCGTTATAATTATAAGAAACAATTTAATAAATAAAATTATAATGATAAACAATAAAAAATTATATTAATATTTTAAAATAGAAAAATATAAGCATACGACTCTTTTTATACTATACTACTACTATGAAGTATAAATAATAAAATAAAATAACATGAACGGAGTACTAGATTAATATACTCCCATTTCAGCAACAACAGGCACAGAACAAGGCGTTTGAGTATATTTGTTTGCCAAAAGCAGTGCGCGCGCAAAACTCTAGGCAGAAGAGACAACAGAAAAACAGTATCATAAAACATTTTTAAACCAACCAATCACCACCCTTTGACACCCACAAAACCAACAAACAACACCGCTCCCATTTTTCAAACGCTACAAAACATTACTGACACCATTTTGTACTCTTTACTTTTTCAACTTCATAATCAACGTTACAGTAAAATTGATCATAACCTATCTATCATACACTTATAATTTAAATTTTAAATTAATATTTCATCCGTTTCAAAATAATTTATTATTGTTTAAAAAGTTTTTGTACATAAATTAAAAAATATAATAATATTAAAATATTACATTTTTATTAAATTAGTTTAATTAATAAATTTAAAATAATCTTCAAAATAATAATTATATGACACAATTAGAAAAATAACAATTATTACTACATTAAAAAATAAAAACAACCGTCATTTTAAAATAAAATTTATTTTAAAACAGAAAAGTATATCACTATAAATGATACTATTATAGAGCTGTCTTCTGTCCTTTAAATTAATTTTTCATTTTTCAAAATTATAAAAAGAAAAAGAAAAAAGAATATACCTCAAATTGTAGAAGCCAATTATTCTCTCCTGCTCCATATCCTCTGTGCAAATGATAAGCAGGTAAACTCCCATCCAAACAAACTACAAATTCAAACACATAAAATTTTAATTAATAAAAACAAAATAATAACCGAAGAGAAAATAAAAAGTAAATAAAATAAAATAAACTTACGAGCTCCAGTATCACGTGCGTTCTTAACGATCGTCATGCTCACTAGAAGCCTCTGTTCTTCTTGTGATTCAACGCGCCATGGCTCCACCGTGATTATACACACCAATGCAAAAGCCACGGCGAAGTTCGCCGTAACAGAAACCGATTGGATCATATTTCTTTCAACTCGATTCAAAATCTCTCGAGAAAAAACAGATAGGAGAAGAAAGCGAGATCTCAGTGCTCTGTTGTTGATTTGCGATTTGTGTTGAACTGATTATACGGCATGAAGGAGTGAAGAAATAGATCGCAAAAATGTTGGATTGAAACGGAATTGGAAATCGACGTAACCGAAATGGACGCTTCATTGATTGCTTATGTGGAAGCGATAGATATGAATTTAATTGAAGACCAAAATCTCGTAGCCATAGCAATAATAAACAATAATAATAATAATGAGTTATAATAACGCACGTCGAATTAAAAAGAGAGAAAGTGAAAAAAGAAGCGTGAAAGGAATGAAAAGGGAGAATGTGTGTTTTTTGAGTTCAGAGTTATGGTGTGTGAGTGGACGGTGTCGTATTGAGATGAAAGTGTATTATTAAAATTGGATGAAAAAAAAATGGAAATAATAGAATTTGAGAGAGTCTGTTGGGTATGGTGTGGAATGGACCCACCACGAAAGAGAATATGGATCAAGATGTCAACTATAACCAAACCATGTTGCAGTGGTAGGGTTTGCTTTTAGTTGTCTTTGAGTTCAAGTTATGGCAAACTGTTTTTTCTTTTTTATAAATATTTTATATTTTATAGGTTGGTTAGTAACCACTATGACTATGAGGTATCCCCAACTTTTGTTTTATTTAACATTTATTTTTAAAATATTAATACTTTTGTTCATTTAGTAATTACGATTTTTATCTATAAATAAATAAGTATAATAGTCTTATATAGTCATTTAATAAACATTTATCATATTTTGTCATATAAATCCATTTTGTAACTCTTATTTAAAAATACCTATTTTGTAACTCTTATTTAAAATACCTATTTTATACTGTATTTTAATTGAATACAAGGTTGCCTTAGTGGTTCAATTTAATATGCATTATTATAGTTAGCATAGCTAGTTATTATAATGGTAAACAACTTTGTTTTATTCAAAAATCAACCGTTTGACATGTGGTACCTATACGTTTATTATTATTTAAATATATTATTAAAAATAAAATAAAAAGGTAAAATGTGATATTATTTCTTTATTTTTTTTCAGGCAAAATGTAATATTATTTCTTAATCATCTGTCTTAGGCAAAATGTGACATTATTTCTATCCTTTCCTTTTTATTAGGAGCAACTTTAAAATTAGATCATGAAATTTTAAAATGTTGAAGGCGACCGTGATTCCCAATGAGAGAGCACATCATTTTTCTCTAAGATATAAAAAAGGTTTAATATTAAAATGAATTGCTTAAAAAATTGAGTGATTAAAGAATCAAGATTTAATTATTGTTTCAATTAAATTTAATTCATGAACCCTTAAAAATTGAGTGACTAATGAAAAAAAAAAAAAAAAAAAAAAAAAAATATATATATATATATATATATATATATATATATATATATATATATATATATATATATATATATATATATATATATAAAATAAAACTAAAAAAAAAAACAAAAAGTCTAATATAAATAAAAAATTATATATTTAATTAAATATATTAAAATAATAAGCATAACCCATGCAGGACAACTAGTGTTCTCCTCATCCTTAAGTCTAAAATATTCACGTTTCTTTTTTCTATCCATCCCCGCTTCTATGAAAAAAATTTATCTTTATTTTTGGATCTAAATAAAGCAATCTCTACAAAATTCCATTGAGAAGTGTAAATTGCCATTCCTATTAATTACTTATTTGATATAAATGTTGTCATTGTGTGTTTATGATATTGTTATTGTAATTTGATTTCCTAATACATTTCTTTGACTTAATGAATAATAAAAATAAACATTGCTTTTAAATCATTATTATATTACATTATGGATTTTTTTTTGGTTGAAATAACACATATTTTAAAATAAAATATTAAAATAGTTATGTTTTTAAAAAAGTTATTAAACTAACTTACTTTTAATATGTATGCGTCATATGATATGACGATAGTATTGAGAATGCAAATGAACTGAACTGATACACTATATCATATGACGACACCATTTAAAAAAAATTCCGAAGAGGCGCCATATGATATGACTCCTCAGTTCAACCTTTTTTTTTCTTTTTTTTAAAGTCATATTTGAACTGAGACGTCATATCATATGACGCATCCTCTGAATTTTTTTTAATAGTATTGCCATATGATATGGCGTATCAGTTTAACTCATTTGTATTTTCAATGCTGTCGCCATATCATATGGCGCATGCATGTTAAAAGTAAGTTAGTTTGGTAATTTTTTTAAAAACTCAGTTATTTTACTATTTTATTTGAAAATATGTGTTATTTCAAAAAAAAATTTACAATGATCCCGTTTATTTTATCTTTTTTTTGTTAAATTATTTTTATAGTGTTATATATTTTGATGTAAAAAAAAATTACAAAAATCATTTCCATAAAAGTTTAGAAAGAAAACTTGTTTTGAATAAATTTTTTTAAAATGTTATTTTAGGTATTTCATCATTTTATCAACTAAAAACAATTGAAAATTAAAATTTTAAAAAAATCACTTAATTTTAAAACTATTTCATATAGTTTTTCATAAAAATCATTTTTGAAATACAATTTTTTGAAAAAGTTATAATTTTGATTATGTTTTAATTTTTAATAATGTATGTTTATGTTATAGAATGTCAAAATTAATCTTTTAATTTATGAAAAATAAATTTAGAAAAATTTATAATACTTTAAAAAAAAGTATTTGTATAATCCATTTTTAAAACTATAAAAAAAATCTACTTTTTTTAAAACTAAAAACAAACTATCTATAATTTGTTCATTATTTATAAAGCACCATACATTTAACTATCTCTTCTAACCTTTTAATTTAACTTGTTTTTGTATATTTAACTGGTTGGAATACTACATTAATTTCTATTTCATTACAAATTGGATGAATCTCTTACCTAGACCTCCTTTAAAAATAACATATTTACGCAATCATATTATAAGCAAAACAAATTTTTAATTCAATTAATATACTTAAGCATTAATTGTGTTAGAAGAAATACATTTTTCTAACATTTTAATTCAATTAAGTATGTTTTACATATAGTATGTTTTATATATTTAAAAAATCAAAAATTTTAATTCATTAGTATACTTAATTATTTTTTTATAAACAATTGAATTAGTAAGAGTAAAGAGGCACTCAAACCCATAAAAAAATTAACTTTTATTAATACAATTTAAAGGGATAACACACCAAAGTAAAAATTATAGTTGTGAATTAAATCAATTCTAACCACAAACTATGATCATATGTGTGATCTAGTGGTGAATGCTTAGATTTTAAATGTGTGTTTATTTCAAAATCTCAAAATCTAAGAAATAAGCTGGCAAAAACTTCCCTTATTAAAATGGAACAGTTATCACTTTTTAGGGGATCCCAAGTTCAGGCTTAAAATCTTTATAAATACTTCAACTATAGAGTTAAAAGAGACATATAAAAATACATACAAAACTTCTCACCACGAGCGAGATTGTTTTTTCTATACTGAAAATACCATAAAGTAAGTTTCCTCACAATTCAAAGTAAGTTTGAACGACAAAAATTCCTTAAATTTTTTTACTATTCCAACAAGTATATGTAGTGTAACACCCTAAATTTCCTCTGTAATATTTTTAAATAAAACATCAAAGTAATTAAACCAAACACATGCAACTTATGATGTTACGGTCAACATACAAAACCTGCTCATCAGATTGACTACGTAACACTTATATTTTTGTATAATCATAAAAATCTGAACATGTCTGAACATTACTTTTATTGCAGCGAAATAATAAAAATCAATTATCGTTTCATGGTATACAAAAGTTATCATGAAATCACATAATTCATCAGAACAACAATTAAACATAATAAAGGGGGTGTCCACAAATCTCAAGGAAATATAAATCATAAACGCGTTCCAACGATTCCCCGGTGTTACAATCAGAGCAGGCGTCAAACTATAAAGAAAAAGAGTAAGGAGACTTCATCTTCAACTCACATTTGATTCCTATTACGGAGTATTTGCACATTGCCCACATGGAGACAATATTCAAACAGAAGGGGTGAGATATCATGATAATATAAAAGGAAAATATGATAAACAATATGTATCATGTGCATTATCACTCATTCTTCAACATAACACACCCAACACCAACACTAAGTTATCCAAAAATAAAGATAACACAACAACAATTCATGCTAAATATCTCATATTGATCAACCAAGAACATCATTACTAATTATTTCTCAACCAACATAGAAATCACATGATAACGAGTCCAAATAATTCACACAACACCACATATTTAGCAAGATAGCAACATAGTTAATAAGTAATCCAATGAGACTCATAATTTGACCCAATGCATATGCATGTGGTACCAATTTTCGTGAACACTCAGATTCACCATTCTGATCCCCACCTCATAGGATCAGAACCACTCACTGATTCATCACCTCCGAATCAGCTACCGGCCCAATCCACACAATGAGATTTTAGGCTCACCAACAACGGACCATTGTCCACAAATGTAAGCAATGTAACTATTTATGCATACAACAACAACAACAACATCATCATGCGCAATAATCCACCACCATGGTTATTGTACATCGCACAAAGTGGCCAGCCAACATAAAGTATATTTCATAGAATATGGATATATATCTTTAATGCAATCACAACAACATCATAAAAACATCCTCACATCACCATCATTAACATCACAACGACATCCTAGTAACAACACTCAAGATTCATCACTTACAACAAGACTTCGTAGCGTACACAACAAGTAATAATCACATTCCTAAACATATTAGACATATAAATACTTGGAAAATAATTCACCTATTTATACCATGTTAAATTTCTATTTATTATCTTTCCGACACTTTAAACGGTTTGTCATTTGGATATACGGTTAAAAAGTTATGATCGAAATCGTATTTA